CACGAAAAAAACTACATCGAACGCATGGCTTGGTGGCCGCTTACATTCGCACAGTAAGAAACCACACGTAAATGACATTGGTATTAGGAACTGGGGCGCCCCATATATATATAGTGCTTAAAAACATTTGCAGCAAGCAGTGCCTACCACATTGCAAGTGGCGTTATTAGAGAAAACTGAGTTGTGACACTGCTGCAGTTAAGTCTAATTACGTCCAGCTAAAACGTTCCCAGTACGAGACTCTGTAGTTCAATACATTCACATGTATATTACAATAACTCACAGTGTATGGGAACAGTGTGCTTGCATTCATTGTATTAACGTGACCAGGAACCTAGAGGGGAAAGTTACCGAGAAGGACGATGATGAAAGAGAGAAGATGGAAGAAGGGGAGGAAGTGGGGCAGGGAAACAGAAGAAAGAGGAGATAGAGAGGGGAGCGAAGAGGGAGAGGAGAGGGGAGAGAGAGAGCGAGCCAAAAACAGCTCCACTATCTAGTCACCAGCTAGTCGTGATGTCTGGATAGAGCCCGAAAACAGCATAAACAGAGAGAAGGCCAGTAGACTCGTCATTGCAAATATAGTTAAAAGGAAAACAATTAAATCTAGGAAACTTTCGCAGCACAAATATAATGCTGCATAAAAGAGATATATCTTACATATTTCTGTTATGCAGACCTTTATCTTTTTATAGTATCGAAACGAAATAGATGACTATACTATAAAATCGATACAAGACGTCATTACAATGCTTTACTTGTGCTTTCCTATCTGCATTGCATAAAACAAGTTACATACACAAATAGGCTGTCACGATTTCTTACTTAAATAATTTAAGAGAAGCGTTGGCAATGCGCTATATTCACTATTAGTTTCAGTAGAACATAGTGTCATATTTTATAACTCAATCCAAGTTTTTACAAGTAAATAGCATTTGAGATAAAGCAATTCCACATTTTTCCGTAGAACTTCTGGGAATTATGACCAGCATGTGTAAGTACTCAGTATTAGTGAACGGCAGAGTTGTGAGCCAAAAATAGTTAACGCCTTAAAACAAAAACAAAAGATTTCTAGTGAAAACTGAACAAGACAAATTTGTATGTGGCAGAGCTGTGAGCCCGATTCAGCTTGAGAATAATTCCGTAAATCTAAATGTCACAGAAGAGAGAGCTGAGGAAATCACTTTCCCATTTTACGCCAGCGTGGCTACTACAATTTACGTGGTAGGACTGCGGAATCCTTGCCCTGATAAACAAACTGCTGAGATACAAACTTCAGCAGGTGGCCCTGCTCTTGTTTAGATACCACGCATAATCCCGATGCATTACGCAATCGGCAAGAGATGTGCACCAGAGGTTGTGTACAACTGGAGGAAACGGAGCGCAGAGCAGAGGTCACGGCTAAAAGTGGGCGTCGGTTGGTGTACGACTTGCGGCGTCTTACCACTGCCCTTGCTTGTGGTTGCTGTGGCTTTGCGGTAGGCGTCTTTCGGCTCGACTATCCTAACGTTCTTACTCGGCACGTTGCTCCACGTGTTCCTCTCAGTAGCTCAGCCACTCACTCATCTTCGCTGAATCACGAAAGCAGAAGGGGGGGGGTAACTTAGTGGAGCTTCATCGAGTGCAGAGACCGGTATTTAAGAGCAGGAAAACTGAAGTTAGGCCAAATCTGAAATTACACATTTCCAGTTGGACGGCACATAAGTAAGAGTCGGTAGGTTCAAGGACAATATTTTTAAGAGGCAGAAAAAGACGTGATAGCTATACTGAAACAAGTGGGCGCGGGGGTCGTTAAAATGTGGTAAAACTGCAAGGTTCACCAGGAATTCAATGCAAGGGACAGTAAAGTAAAGGAAACGAAACACTATCATGGCATATTCATGTGACCTCAGCTATCCATTTGTTGGATGCATTTCGCATCATACCCTACACCGACACTTGCAAAGCGACACTCAGCTATGGGCGAATCAGCCATGTAGCACTAAACCACTTTGTAGCAGTTCAATAGCGCAAGAGCGGCGGCGAGGCTAATGGCAGAACCGTAGCGGTGGGCGTTTGTGATGTGTCTTCTCTCATCCATTCACTGTCAAACGTCCTCTGCTTCCCTCTGAAAACAAAACCCATTTCAAAATCGCGGAAAGATGACGTCTAAAGCAAACCTGTATGTAATTACCTAATCGAATCAAAAAGAGATGAAAGTGTCAAATGACAGCTGTAGGCTCACACACAAAAAAGGACACAAATGAAGTGAGTAAGAAGAAGTCAGTTTTAATTGAGGCAAACCATGCGACAGTACATTAAGAAAACGAATTGCCATCTGTTATATCGCAATAATAATTTATAAACCAAAAGAGTAAATCACAATTATGACCTGTAGTGGCGCTACACCCGCTTTGTAGGCGATGGCGTTGAAATAAACAGGTTAATGCTGCCGTTCCGACATGTTTTGTAACATCTTACTCTAATAGACGTTTTATGCGCAAGGTGGAGAGGAAATACCAATTTTGCATTAAAGATATTGGTCAATTAATCTTGTAAAACGAAGCGCAAGACGATGTGACACCCACAGAACCTGTTTGTGTTATAATAATATGCTATTATAATTGCAAACCCTCAACCTAATTCTGCATAATTTTTTTTAAATATCAAAACCCCTAGCCGCTTAATTCATTCACTACACAAAAAATGAGCAAAATCCGTTGAGCCTGCACTGACTAATGGCAATTCCAATTTCTTGGCCAAAAATCGCGCAGTGGCTCGAAAGTAACGTCGACTGGCGTGGCTTCAAAATAAGACGTTCCATATGGGAGCATAGAGTACAACTACAGCCCCAATTCACAAAGCATGTGGGTAAATGTGGGTCCTGAGTGTATCGTTGACCGAAACCAAAATGTTGACGGACGGACGGACGGACCCCGGACGGACGTACGACGACCCATGGCAAATAGCTCAGCATTGAACGATGTAAGGATGAGCTAAAAATGGGGCAAGTGTTCTTTAGCAAACATACGCTGTTCAGTGGAACGACGTTTTTCGAATGGGGCGCAGTTCTTCATTTTAAATAACGCAGTACGAACTACCAATTGCTTCTCATATCTCCACTATTTCACGGTTCAGAAATCAACAGCATTTCACGCGACACTTACAACTGAGATAATTTTTGTAAGGATGGCACTCGCCGTGTGACGACTTTTTTTTTCGTAACGAAATATTTGCAACGCGCTTTCTTCTTTGACAGCCTCTACTATCTACTATCTTCTTTGACCGACTGCTACATTCTAACCATCTACTTCACGACTTTACGATCTACTATCTTCTTCGACGACTCTACGATCTACTATCTTCGTCGACGACTCTACAATCTACTATCTTCTTCGACCGACTCTAACCGATCTAGCTATCTTCTTCGAAGACTCTAGCGATCTTACTATTCTGCTTCGACGACCTCTACAATCTACTATCTTCTTCGACGACTCTATCAATCTATATGCTTCCTTCGATGACTCTACAATGCTACATGCTTCTGTTGACCGCCGTCTAACGATTTCTACTATCTTTCTTTGACTCTCTATGTTCTACCATCTACTTGACGACTCTACGATGCTACTATCTTCTTTGACAGACTCTACGTTTCTACGCATCTACTATCGACGACTCTAGCGATGCTACATGCTTCTTTGACGGCCTCTACGATCTACTATCTTCTTGACGACTCTACGTTCTAACCATCTTCTTCGACGACTCTACGATCTCTATCTTCTCGACGACTCTACGATCTACTATATTCTTCGACGACTCTACGATCTAACTATCTTCTTGCGAAGGCTCTACGATCCACTATATTCTCGACGACTGC